GGGGGGTGAATAGGCAACTAACAATTTTAAGCTTTTCTTAGCCAAATTAAACTTTGCAACAAAATAGGTTGTCTAGAAGTGCAACTAAGTGAGCAACATATATGATGCAATGACAACTAGCACACAAGCAAGTAAAGAATGTAAACAAGTAGACTAGCAAAAGTAAAGGCACGAGATAACCAAGAGTGGAGCCGGTGGAGACGAGGATGTGTTATCGGAGTTCCTTCCTTTTGAAGGGAAGTACGTCTCCGTTGGAGCGGTGTGGAGGCACAATGCTCCCCAAGAAGCCACTAGAGCCACCGTAATCTCCTCACGCCCTCGCACAATGCAAGATGCCGTGATTCCACTATTGGTGCCCTTGAAGGCGGCGACTGAACCTTTACAAGCAAGGTTGGGGCAATCTCCACAACAAACGGAGGCTCCCAACAACAACAACACCATGAAGCTTTACCACAATGGAGTATGGCTTCGAGGTGACCTCAACCGTCTAGGGTGCTCAACACCCAAGAGTAACAAGATCCGCAAGGGATAAGTGGGGGAAATCAAATATCCTGTGGTGGAGATGTAGATCGGGCCCTTGTCACCCAATCCCGAGCAAATCAACAAGTTTGATTGGCTAGGGAGAGAGATCGGGCGAAAATGGAGCTTGGAGCAATAATGGAGCTTAGAGGTGGAAGAGGTGACCTACTAGAGGTAGAAGACACCCCTTATATAGTCATGGACAAATCCAACCGTTATCCAATAGGTTCAGCCCGCGACCCACGGTACTACCGCTCCAGGGGCGCGGTACTACCATGAGTCTGCGCGGTACTACCGTGGACCACCACGGTACTACCGCGGCAGCAGCACAGGCCGGAACTGGCCTGACTGAGGGGCAGTACTACCGCTGGCGCGGTACTACCGCTCCCCCTTGCGGTATTACCGCAAGGCAGGAGAGTCACGGCCTGGGAAGGGTGCGGATGAAATAAATTACATCCGTGCCTACTTCCGCTGAAACTGGGGTGTTGCAAAAACCCGACGCGGTACTACCGCACGCAGGGCGCGGTACTACCGTGGTGGGCGCGGATGTAAAACATTTCATCCGCGCCTACTACCGTGGCTCAGCGGTACTAGGTAGGAGGGCCACGGTACTACGGCTCCCAGGGAGCGGTACTACCGTGGTGGGCGCGGATGTAAAAAATTACATCCGCCCCTACTACCGCACCGGAGCGGCACAAGGCCTGGGTGCCGCGGTACTACCGCTCAGGAGGAGCGGTACTACCGTGACAGCCAACGGTACTACCGCTTGTACTTGCGGTACTACCGCAAGTACAGCAGTAGTCACCAGGTTTCCGCACAACCAAGATAACGGAAGGCAGCTCCAAAGTGCGGGGAAAGGGGAGACAAGTGTACGTGTTGATTTCACCCAAACCTTTCCGACGCGGACCCCCTCTTAATAGTACGGCTCTCCTATGACTCAAATCCACCAAAGAGAAACGTAGGACGACGCCGACTTCCATGGTCTCCGAGGGGCACCGAATCATCTCGTGCCCAGTGATGAAGTATCTGAGAGACTCAAGGCACACGATTAGTCCGCAAACACATTGTCATCAATCACCAAAACACCTCAGGGATAAAACATGCCCTTACACCGACCCAAAGTGCTTTTGTGCCTGGTAGAATGATTACAGACAATGTTTTAGTGGCTTATGAGAGCTTTCATACTATTAAAAATAAGAGGGTGGGAAAAGAGGGTTTATGCGCTATCAAGCTTGACATGCACAAAGCTTATGATCAAGTCGAATGGCCTTTTTTGAAGGGAATTATGTTGAAACTCGGTTTTCAGGAGAGATGGGTAAATCTTATTATGAAATTTGTCTCTACTGTTGAGTATAGGGTACAGATTAATGATGAAGAAACTAAAAGTTTCAAGCCTACAAGAGGCTTAAGACAAGATGATCCATTATCTCCCTACCTTTTCTTATTATGCACAGAGGGCCTTACTGCTCTCTTGGCGCATGCGGAGGAGATTGGGAATATTTTTGGGAGTCAAGGTTTGCAGAGAGGACCCTACTATCACAAATATCCTTTTTGCGGATGACTCATTGATTCTCATGAAAGCAAATCAACAAAATGCGGAGACACTTAAATCAATTTTGGACTTATATTATGTTGCATCTGGACAAATGGTGAGTGTTAAAAAAGCTAGCATATTTTTTAGCCCAAATACGAGTGGGGACATTAGAGAACAAATTTGCTCAATTTTGAATATCATGATCGAAGCTCTCAATGATAAGTATCTGGGCCTGCCTGTGCATGTGGGGTTAGATAAGACTGATTGTTTCCAATATCTGATTGATCGCATTGTTATGAGAATTGGCGGATGGAAAGAAAAACTCTTATCCACTGGAGGCAAGGAAGTTCTTCTCAAGTCTGTTGTTCAAGCTATCCCAACTTATGCTATGTCGGTCTTTAAAATTTCTAAAAAAAATTGTAAAGGAATAACTGACAAGATGTCCCATTTCTAGTGGGATGATGACGACAACCAGAGAAGGATGCATTGGATGGCATGGTGGAAAATGTGTGTCCCGAGAAGCCAAGGCGGAATGGGTTTTCATGACATTCATTGTTTTAATTTGGCCATGCTGGCTAAACAAGCTTGGTGTCTCCTTGAGAACCGAGATTCCCTGTGTGCCACCATTTTGCGAGCTAATATTTCCCCGATGGAGATTCATTGAACGCAAAATTAAAAAAGGGATCATCCTTCACATGGCAAAGTATTATGACGGGGGTTAATACCTTAAATCATGGCTATATTTGGCGAGTTGGAAATGGTCAAAAAATTGATATTTGGGAAGATGCTTGGATCCCTAACTATGCTAACAGAAAAGTCATTACTCCAAAGGGGCAACATTTGTTGTCAAAAGTGTCGGGTTTTATTGACCCCTCTTCGAACAGGTGGGATGAGGATCTCATCAGACAGATCTTATGGCCCGTTGATTCACAGTGGGTCCTTGCTATCCCTTTGTCTCAGTTTGATATGTCAGATTTTGTTGCCTGGAGTCACACTAAGAATGGGATTTTTTCTGTTCGATCTGCATATTTTGTTGAGTGGGATCATCAACATGGAAGGAAACTTCGTCGTACTAATGAAATGGGTCAAACAAACTTTAATCCAATTTGGTGTAAGATTTGGAATTTTATCTTGTCCAGCGAAGGTGAAATTTTTTATATGGTGGACGCTACATGGTACTCTTTCATGTCGTGTTACGCTTGCTAATAGTCACATGAAAGTTTCTCCTTTATGCCCTTTTTGCGCTTTTGGTTTAGAAGACACAAAACATCTGTTGTTTCAGTGCCAGAAGGCAAAAGAGGTCTAGAGAAGGCTTGGCTTAGACGAGATCATTGCTTAAGCTTGTGAAGTTGATAGTGCTGGAGAGGTGGTCCTTCGTTTTTTGTTGCACCTGCCTGACCAAGATTTATCTATTATAGGGTTTCATAATATTCAGGAGATGGTTGCCATTACAGCTTGGTATTTGTGGTGGGGAAGACGTAAATTAGTGCACAATGAGAGAATTCAAGATGCAAAACAGATTTCAATGGGGATACAAGCTCTTACGGCTAATTATGTTGTTGCTTCAAATCCAAGGGCTTCTATGAAAAGAGGGGGTTGGACTCATCCCCCGGTGGGATTTGTGAAACTTAATGGTGATGCTTCCTTTGATCATGATCTTCTTAAAGGTAAGGAACGATAAAGGGATTTTTTATTAGGGGTACTTGGAAAATTGATCATTGTGTCGATGCTCTAATAGCGGAGGCTCGGGCTCTCAGATTCGGTCTTTCACTAGCGCAACGTGCGGGTTGCAATCGCCTTGTTATTAATTCTGATAATTTGGAGGTTATTGAGACGATGAATAATGGCGGACGGTCAGCAGGAGCGGCCGCGGCAATTTTTGATGATTGCTATTTTTTGGCGTGTGATTTTCCTACCTCTAGGTTTGAACACTGTAATAGGAAAGCCAATAAGGTTGCGCACGAGCTTGCTAGGTTGGCTAGATTTTCTTCTACTGTTGATTGGTTTGAGGAGTCTATGATTGAGATTGTACCTTTCCTCACAAACGATGTATCTGTTATTTCGATTGAATAAAGTCCATATGTTTTAAAAAAAAATCTCGTTGATTTTGAACTATTGTTGTACTAGACTTATTTGCATGCTATTTATGGATGATTTATACTACTTTTTATCCAAACTTTGATGAATTCTGTCGGTTTTGCATGAATTTCGTCCGGTCTGTTGAAATGCGGTTGAAATGTATGCGGGTAACGTTGGATGGCCGGCTCCCACATCTGTGTCCGTGGACTAGTCCTCTGTCCGCGGACGAATGCGGGAGCAAATTTGCAGATCAGTGTTGGAGATGCCCTTAATACATGTCTGAAAAGAGGTTTTTCGCAAGCAGCAAAGAGGACAGATACTTCTTCCTAGAAAGAGATACACATTTACTCTCCCTGTTTTGAATTATAAGATGAACTATAAGTTGTTCTAACGTTTGTTTGAATCGGATGTATATTGTAATCCATATAGAAATATCCAAAACATTATAGTTTGAAACAGAGGTGATAGTTCATTTCATTCATGAGAACACAAGGCACATACATCTTTGACTTTGTTCCACTCCCATCCATAACCGATGCAACGAAATGGGACAAGACCACGTAACAAGGGACAACATGAGCCCAACATCAGGCTTAACATCACATCGTCACAACCACCATGGCTGACACTAGCAACTACTAACATGATCAGGAAAGCTCTCTCACTCTCATACTTGAGGGACCCTTATTTTGCCCTACCATGGAGCGGCACAAACATTAACCAAAGCAAGGAGCCAAAAAACACACCCCCACTCGGGCCATTCCAGACATAAAACCTTCCGGAAAATTAGTGTTCCGCCACGAAAATTAATAAACAGTAAAACCATTCCTGCTCTACTAGTTAGGGCGGCGATATGGCGGACCGCGTCCTACACCTGGATAAAAGGCTGGCGCGGGTTTTGCGTGACCTGTGCCGCAACCGCTCTCGCCGCACGGAGCTTCATATCCTTGAGGGCAGGGTCCTCGAGAAGGAGTACCTTGTCCTTGTCCCTCACCCCAACCATGTGGAGGTGGTCAGTGTCCTCCCTCTCTTTCCCCTTGAACAGCAGCCTCTGCTCCCTCGGCTCCAGCCCGGTCACCATGGACAGCATCACCTTCAGTTCCCCTGCAATTTGATAAACAAGCTTCTTGTTACATTCTGAAACCCAAACTATATCCTAGGCTTTGCACACACACACACACACACACACAAAAAAAAAAAACTGTATCCTAGGTAAGGCATAAACCGTTTGCTTGCTAGGAAACAAAAATGCAGTATGAAGGTTCGACCATGTGTACGGTTCTGTCTACCTCTCATGCGTGTTATCAGCCACCGGCAGATGCATACAATACCTAGGTGAGCATGTGATGCCATACATTGTCTTCAGTATGGTGAACTAAATGTGCATGCATGTCAGTTGTATGCATTTTTTTAGTCTCTTCTGCATCAACATTGCGTAGTTCGGCAGGAGTAGTGTACTGTACTGTACTGTACTAGTTCTGACTTCCGAAGAAGACGGACTGGGCGGTGGCAACTGTCCTTTTTATTACGGCAATGCTACACGTACAAACGATTTACAGGCTTTTACAGGATGGTTAATCTTGATTGGTCAATAGGTGAGCGGGCGGTCCATCCCCTGAAAATTAGGGGGGGGAGAGGTTTGTGATTGGTTGTTAGATGGAAGGAGCGTGTAAAAACGTGTAAGTCTTTGTATGTCTAGCATTTTTGTTTTTATTATCTAGAGCAGGACAACCTTGCATTCTGAGTTGTCAACTGTTGGTATTTTTAGAGTAGAATAAAAAAGGAGGGAAAGGTAACGTTATGAGTTTTGCTTCAGTCTCACACTATTTTTTATTTTATTCTAAAGGGAAACAACAAGACTCTGCAGGGTATTCATGAGCAACACATCTGGGAGTAAAACGATCCTTTGTTTGTTGAATTACGTCGATCTACAGAAGCATTTTGCAAGTGAAGATGTGAAGTAAAACTTGAGTGGTGCATGCTACTGCGTTGGCATTTACTTCACACCAAACTGCTATTATGGGTGGGTTCTTCTCAACTGAATCGTCCAACATCTACCAAACAACAACACTAACTGATGCAAGAGGCTGCGGCGTTGTTTGATTTGTTCTCTTACACATAAGCTCATACTCTCCAAAATACGGAGCAGGACAAAAATGAAAGGTATCTGAAACCTATCAGTTATAAGTTTTAAAAATACCCCACAGGAAAAAAAAAACCCATCAGTTATAGGAACTACTCGCATAACCTTAAAACCCAAATAGAATACATACAAGAAAACCAAATAGAAAAGAGTTGTCTCAAGAAAACAGATTATGTATACTCACCAAAAGTGCGTGTGGCCCCAATGGAGACATCATGCCATGAGAATCCAGTGGACACCCTCACCATGATCACCTCCTCCGCCCGCCCCCCGTCCCTCTTCTGCACCAGCATCCCTCCCGGTCTCACCTCCCACTCTATCTCCCCACCGCCGCCGACACTGCCATGGCCGCCGCCAGCACTGGCCTTCGACCAGGAGCTCCTCTTGAACAGCCTCTTGGAGTACCTCAGCTTGATCATGGTTGCCTTAACTTTCTGTATCATGCAGCAACCGATTAAAGTTGCGTGTGGTCGTAATGGTAGTCATGGTGCCCAGGCATGTGTGTGTGTATATATAGGACGAGGACGAGGAGCCAGGCTTGCAAAAGGGCAGAGGGCGAGGGGGAGGCTTTGGAAGCGTGCGTCTGCGCAAAGAGGCCGACCAACGAGGAGGATGCAGGCAATCTTTGGGAAGTCCATAGCGGGACCCGATGAACAAGCAAAGGAGGACCCATGTTACAGTTCTTGCGATGTGTTTTGCATGGAAAGGGCTGCACATGGGAGGGTTGGCGCCAAAAATGATGAGCTTTTGATGACACGACCGGGGCAATGACATGATAATTGGGGTGGTCGGTTTAGCTTAGGTAGCTAGGCATAAGCCTTTCTTGATTACAGTATTGCCCATCATGCATGGCTGGCCACCACAAGTTGGATAGTTTAAGGGGCCGTGCTCGCTTGGTTGCGGTTGTTTGGAAAGCAAGGAAAGATGGTGATGATGATGGCGAGTGGTGTACGTGCACAGTGTGCGTATTTTGAGTAGCCCCAAAGGTATGTGTGATCTCAGTTTCTGGTGACGCTTTAGGGGTTATTAAGATGGTTTTAGCGAGGCCTTTGAACCATTTTGGGATATACTTTCTCGCCGGGAATTAGTTAACGCTCAAACATATGTATCTAGATGAGGAAGTCAAAGATTTCACAGCACAATTTAAAAAACAAAAGAAGGATGAAACCCTTGCCTTCTGCATTATAAAGGTGAAGTACAAGATCCAAAGCCGACTTTCTCCCTTCAAGATGAGGTGAGGGTCGCGGTGTTCCAAATGGAACATAACAAAGCTCCAGGTCTTGATGGCTTTTCCACAGAATTCTATCAGAATTTCTGCGATGCATCAAGACTAATCTTTTGGAATTGTTCAGTTCTCTTCATGCCGACCAACTTGACCTATTCAGACTTAATTTTAGCAAGATTGTTTTGTTGCCAAAATTAAGGAGGTTGCGCATATCCATCAATATAGACCCATATGTCTTCTTAATGTCAGATTCAAAGTGGCTACTAATAGGCTCAACATGGTTGCCGGTCATGTCATCCGGCCATCTCAAACAACTTTCATGCAAGGAAGAAATATCTCGAAGGGGTAATCATCCTACATGAGACCATTCACGAGATGCACTGAAAAAACATGAGTGGTGTAGTTTTCAAGATTGACTTTGAAAAGTCCTATGACAAGGTCAAATGGTCGTTTCTTCAGTAGGCCATGAGAACGAAAGGTTTCTCCCATAAATGGCGGAGTGGATCCAATTTTTTTCATTAGAGGTAGTGTGGCTGTCAAAGTCAATGATGACGTAGGCCATTACTTTCAGACAAACAAAAATGACAATGTTAGGGTGACCCTATGTCTCCAATGTTATTTAATATTTTAGCTGACATGTTAGCTATTCTGATTGAACGCGCCAAGTAGGACAGTTAGATTGCAGGATTAGTGACACACCTTGTGGATGGTGGCATCTCCATTTTGCAGTATGCTGATGATACGATTCTTTATATGTAACATGACCTAGATAAGGCTCGAAACCTGACGCTTTTGCTTTCAGCATTTGAGAAACTGTCTGGTCTTAAAATTAACTTCCACAAAGATGAATTGTATTACTTTGGAGAAGCCAATGAGGCGGCGGCTGATTATTCTGACATATTTGGTTGTGCGCAAGGCCAGTTCCCTATTAAATATTTGGGAATCCTGATTCATTATTGGCGTCTCAGTAACGCGGAGTAGAAACATGTAGAGGAATGCTTAGAGAAACGGTTCAGCAGTTGGCAAGGCAAGTTACTCTCTATAGGAGAACGACTGGTCTTGATAAATTTTGTCCTCACAAATATGGTTCTCTATATGCTTTCCTTTTTCCAACTCCCTAAAGAGGTCTTGCAAATGTTGGATTATTTCAGATCCAGATTCTTTTAGCAAGGAGACGGTGAAAAGAAAAAATATAGGCTGACAGAATAGAGTGTGATTTGTAGGCCAAAAGACCAAGGTGGTCTTGGTATTCATAACCTTCAAGTCAAGAATCATGCCTTACTTAGTAAATGATTATTCAAACTTTTTACAAAGGATGGCGTTTGGCAAATCCCGTTGCGTACGTAATAAGTGGCCAGAAAGTTGTGTTACAGGCCTACTGAAAACATGTCGCACTTTTGGGCTGGTCTAATGGCGGCAAAGAAACATCTTTTCCTCTTTGGATCCTTCGCGATAAAGGACGAGTTGGAGGCTCGTTTCTGGGAGGACAACTGGTTAGGCAATACCAGCCTCCTGGAATAATATCCATCTTTGTACCATATTGTTTGTGATAAGAATGATACTCTTGCGCAGGTGCTCAATTCTTTCCCGCCGGATATTTCTTTTAGGCGGGATTTAATTGGCTCGAAGCTACGTCAGTCTTTCCCCAAAGAGGAAGGGATGATGCAACACATCAGTGGTAGGTATTTCCTCAGATATGAAACCAAGGTTATCGAACCAGTAGAAGAACCAAGCAACACAACGTAAACAACCCCTGCACACAGATAACAAATCCTCGCAACCCGACGTGTTAAAGGGGTTGTCAATCCCTTTCGGGTAAAGGCGCCTCAAGATAGGCAAACGGACGTGAGATAAAATTGTAGTAGAATGATAGATCGAACGCCAAATAAGAATAAAACACAACGAGGTGTTTTTGTATTTTGAGTTTAATAGATCTGAAAAAAGGCAAATAAAATAGACCGCGAAGGCAAATAATATGAGTAAGAGACCCGGGGGCCGTAGGTTTCACTAGTGACTTCTATCGAGAAAAATAGCAAACGGTGGATAAACAAATTACTGTTGGGCAATTGATAGAACTTCAAATAATCATGACGATATCCAGGCAATGATCATTATATAGGCATCATGTCCAAGATTAGTAGACCGACTCCTGCGTGCATCTACTACAATTACTCCACACATCGACCGCTATCCAACATGCATCTAGTGTATTAAGTTCATGGAGAAACGAAGCAATGCAATAAGAACGATGACATGATGTAGACAAGATCTATCTTTGTAGAGATAGACCCCATCGTTTTATCCTTAGTAGCAACGATACTATGTATTGGTTCCCCTTCTGTCACTGGGATCAAGCACCGTAAGATCGAACCCACAGCAAAGCACCTCTTCCCATTGCAAGATAAATAGATTAAGTTGGCCAAACAAAACCCAAATGTCGGAGAAGAAATACGAGGCTATAAGCAAACATGCATAAAAGAGATCAAAGAAACTCAAATACTTTCATGGATATAAAAAGATAAATTTGATCATAAACTCAAAGTTCATCTGATCCCAACAAACACACCGCAAAAAAGTTACATCATATGGATCTCCAAGAGACCATTGTATTGAGAATTCAGCGAGAGAGAGGAAGCAATCTAGCTGCTAACTACAGACCCGAAGGTCTACAAAGAACTACTCACGCATCATCGGAGAGGCACCAATGGAGGTGGTGAACCCCATCCGTGATGGTGTCCAGATTGAATCTGGTGGTTCTGGACTCTACGGTGGCTGGAATTGATTTTCGTCGACTCCCATAGGGTTTCTGGAATATTGGGGTATTTATAGAGCAAAGATGCGGTCCGGGGGGCACCTGAGGTGGGCACAACCCACCAGGGCGCGCCTGGGCCTCCTGGCGCGCCCTGGTGGGGTTCTGCTCTCCTCGGAGCACCCCCCAGGCGCAGCCTTGACCCATTAGGTGTCTTCTGGTCCAAAAATATCTCCGTGAAGTTTCGTTTCATTTGGACTCTGTTTGGTATTGATTTCATGCGATGTAAAAAGCATGCAGAAAACAACAACGGGCACTTGGCACTATGTCAACAGGTTAGTACCAAAAAATGATATAAAATGACTATATAATGGTTATAAAACCTCCAAGATTGATAATATAACAGCATGGAATAATAAAAAAATTATAGATACGTTGGAGATGTATCAGCATCCCCAAGCTTAACTCCTACTCGTCCTCGAGTAGGTAAGTGATAAAAACAGAATTTTTGATGTGGAATGTTGCCTAACATGTCATATCATATTCTTTTCTGTATAGCATGGACATTTGGACTTTTATATTGTTCAAAGCAATAGTCTAGTTTTGACATGATAATTTAAATACTCAAGCATATCAACAAGCAACCATGTCTTTCAAAATATTAACGCTAAAATAAGCTATAGCTAGCCCATCGTGCTCAATCATTGATCCATTCATGAAACACACTCGCATATTAACTACACCCAATACTCAAGTACGATCATATTGCCTCCTAGTTGGTGCTTTTATAAGAGAAGATGGAGACTCAAATTCAAAATAAAAATTGCATAAAGTAAAAGAATGACCCTTCGTAGAGGGAAGTAGGGATTTGTAGAGGTACCAGAGCTCAAAGCAAAAATTGAGCGATAAAAACATTTTGGGAGGTGTATCCTTCCCACCAACAAAAATGACTTAGAGTTCCCAACACTTTCCATGCTAGATATATCATAGGCGGTTCCCAAACAGAAAATAAAGTTTATTCCTTTTTCAACCGTACCTTCACTTTCCATGGCTAGCCGTATCCACGGTTGCCCTCCATACCAACACTTTCCAAGGAATTTATTATTTGACAACATAAAGTAAATTAATTTTTCATTTCGGGACTGGGCATCCCTAATACCTTTGCCTTACTCTCGTGCAATGACAAGTGAATAAACACTCATCGTGAGAATAACACGTCTAGCATGGAAAATATTAGCCACCCCTCACCGCTCCGCGAGCGGAACGAACACACAGAAAGAGAAGTTTATTCTGAAAATTAGAGATGGCACATACAAATTTGCTTAGAACGGCAAAAGAATGCCGCATATAGGTAGATATAGTGGACTCATGTGGCAAAACTGGCTTAAAGGGTTTTGGATGCACAAGTAGAGATCATACTTAGTGCAAAATGAAGGCTAGCAAAAGATTGAGAAGCGACCAACCAAGAA